AATTTCCTCTATCTTCCTTTACCAATCATGAGCATCCCAATCATTCCTCTCCACCGACTTGGCTATATAATTGCCTCTACTCTCCAGCCATACCTGTGTATATAAAAACACACAAATATATATACACACAAATATATATATATATATATACACACACAGTTGAAGTCAGAATTATTAGCCCCCTTTTGATTTTGATTTTCTATTTTAAATATTTCCCAAATGATGTTTAACAGAGCAAGGAAATTTTCACAGTATGTCTGATAATATTTTTTCTTCTGGAGAAAGTCTTATTTGTTTTATTTCGGCTAGAATAAAAGCAGTTACTAATTTTTTAAAAACTATTTTTTGGGACAAAATTATGAGCCCCTTTAAGCTAATTTTTTTTCAATAATATAAAGAACAAACCTTTGAAATAACTTGCCTAATTACCCTAACCTGCCTAGTTCACCTTATTAACCTAGTTAAGCCTTTTAATATCACTTTAAGCTGTATAGAAGTGTCTTGAAAAATATCTAGTGTAATATTATTTAATGTCATCATGGAAAAGATAAAATAAATCAATTATTAGAAATAAGTTTTTAAAACTATTATGCTTAAAAATGTGCTGAAACAATCTTCCCAGAACAGAACAGAAATTGGGGAAAAAAATAAACAGGGGGGCTAATAATTCTGACTTCAACTGTATATAAAATTGAGATGATTTCGTATGTCAGTGGATGATGTGCATAAAATATAATAAACAAATTGTAAGCATAGATAAATAGAATAAAGAAGAAAAAAAATAAATGAAATAGTATAGGCTTTCTATATGAAAAAATGAAAACGTGATCATGTCTTACACACAAATGGTTTGAATTTGCTTGAAATCGTATAGTCACAAGCCTTAAAAACACAAGCTAAATTAAAAACCTTTACTCTATTGGGGTTAAACTTTACAATGACTCCACAATGTCCTGAACTCAAGTGTTTTTGTTTATTTACGGTTGTAAATTGCATTATGGGATGTTGTGCTCTCCTCTGTCGATTTTTAATGTTGACAATTCAACTCTACAGTTTACCAAAGTGACTTTTATTGACATTTGATTTAAATAATATAATGTATTCGACATAATATCTAGAGAAATAAGTCTGTGGGATAACAGAAAATGTGCTGCAGTTTATCACAAGGTTTCTGTAGTGTAATATACAACACCAACACAGACAATATAGCACTGCAAACTATTACAAATGTTTAGAAAAGTCACTTTTTTCCAACTACTCAAGGTTAAAAGTTGTTGGAGGAAAGATCAATCTCCCATAATCCAACTCAAATAAAGAATAAATAAAAACATGAATCACAAAATTTGGAAAACTGCTCATTTACAGATATTTCTTTGCACATAATGACTCATGAGCTTGTCATAAAGACTGCCATGTTGCAGATTACATATTGTGTTAACAATTCTAGCTGAAACAGTGTGATTTATTTCCTTCTTTCTTCAGGTCAATGTGGGAGGAGATCAGTTTATTCATCTGAGAGTTCACAAACCGCTTCCTCACGCTGGAGATAAAGTACAGCTGCAAGGCATTCAGGTGTCGAAAAGTTGTCAAGACCCCATCCATTACTTCTAAACAAACCCTCATTGGTGGATCTTAAAGCGACAGTGCACCCAAAATATGAATCCCTCTATTTATACACTATTTACAGTATTACTATTTACTCTATTAGTACACTTTTTACAGTATTTACTATGTACACTCAAGTGTCTCCAAACCTTTATAAGTTTATTTCTTCTGTTGTATGCTAAAGAAGGTAGTTTGAAGAATGCTTAAAACCTGTAACCATCGACTTCCATAGTAGGCAAAATAAATACTATGAGTTTCTTTCACCTGTTAAATGCTAAAGAAGGTCATTTAAAGAATGCTTAAAACCTGTAACCTTAATGCTTAAAAGAATGCTTAAAACCTGCAACCATTAACTTTCATTGCTGGAAAAATAAATAATATGAGTTTCTTTCATCTGTTAAACTCTAAACAAGATAGTTTGAAGAATGCTGTAAACCTGTAACCATTGACTGCCTTAGTAGAAAAAAAATAATACTATGAGTTTCTTTCATCTGTTAACGCAAAAGAAGATAGCTTGAAGACTGCTGAAAACCTGTAACCATTGACTTCCATAGTAGAAAAATAAATACTATGAGTTTCCTTCATTTGTTAGCGCAAAAAAAGATAGCTTGAAGAATGCTGAAAACCTGTAACCATTGACTTCCATTGTGGGAAAACAAATACTATGAGTTACTTTCATCTGTTAAACTCTAAACAAGATAGTTTGAAGAATGCTGAAAACCTGTAACCATTGACTTCCATTGTGGGAATACAAATACTGTGGGCTTCTTTCATCTGTTAAACGCAAAAGATGGTTTGAAGAATGCTTAAAAGCTGTAACCATTGACTTTCTATATAGGACAAACAAATACTGTAACCATCAACTTCCATAGTTGGAAAAACAAATACTATGATAGTCAATGGTTACCGGTTTCCAATATTCTTCTGTAAATCCTTCTTTGATGAGTAAATAATGACAGAATTTTTGGGTGAACTGTCTCTTTAAATGTTTCTCATTCATGCACACCAACATGCCATACAGTATGAGGAGTTTGTTTATATGTGTGATATACTCTTAACTAATGCTGTTACAAAACCTTTATTAAATTCTGCAATGTTAAAATGAAGCAATTCATTTGAGTTTTCCAGTGCCTGTACTGTACAGTCGATGAGTTTTCTAAAACCAGCACGTCACATGCTCAGATGCTGCACTGTGGTGAAACAATTGCACACGAATATGACTCATCATTCCAAAATCTGTTTTATAAATGCCTCTTCTAAAATAAAGGGAAATGGATTTGACAATCTGTATGTGTTTGCTTTATTTACACCCAATGCTAATAGTTTTTAATTCAATGCAAGTTAATTTGTTCAGCGCTTGTCACAATAATTATTGTTTCAGTTATTGCATTGCAATGAAACTCGGAAAAGGTTATTAGTTACCATACCTTAATTACTAATGACTTTAACTAGACAACATGATGGCTCAGTGGTAAGCGCTGCCGTCTCACAGCAAGAAGGTCGCTGGTTTGAGTCCCAACTGGGTCAGATGGCATTTCTGTGTGGAGTTTGTATGTTCTCCCCGTGTTGGCGTGGGTTTCCTCCGGGTGCTCCGGTTTCCCCCACTGTGCAAACACATGCGGGAATTGGGTAAACTAAAATGGCCATAGTGTAAGTGTGTGTGAATATGAGAGTGTATGGGTGTTTCCCAGTACTGGGTTGCGGCTGGAAGGGCATATGCTGTGGAATAATTAGTGGTTCATTCTGCTGTGGCGACCCCTGATGAATAAAGGGACTAAGCTGAAGGAAAATGATTGATGAATAACTTTAACTAATTAATTAGTATTTAATAGCTATTAACAGTTAAAGTTATTATATATAAACATAGCTAACCTGCAGTGCTAGTAAATAGGTAATTTAAATGTGTGCATGTTAAATTAAAGGATCCACTGCCAGATGAAGCAGAACTTTTCATTTTGAATGGCCAGAAAAAGAAAACATTCCCTTATTAATAATTCCCAATTTTCCACAAATCGGCTCGTGCCAATGATTTCAAAATGTTACTACTTTTACTGTTTGTATTATTTTAATATGATATTTGTATATTTTCATTTTGCAATTTAATTTAAAATTCTAATAATAATTTTCTTCTTTTTATATATTTATTATGTTTTTAATATTTTTCATGTTTTGTAACTGCTTTTAATTAGTCTGAGTTTATAAATAAACTAGAGTTTATAAATAAATATGTATGTAAAATATGTAAAATATTGCTTTATTGATTTATTTTATCTTTGCCATGATGACAGATAATAATTGACTAGATATTCTTTAAGACACTTCTATACAGCTTAAAGTGACATTTAAAGGCTTAACTAGGTTAATTAGGTTACCTAGGCAGGTTAGGGTAATTAGGCAAGTTATTGTATTACGATGGTTTGTTTTGTAGACAACTGAAAACAAATATCACTTAAGGGGACTAAAAATATTGACCTTAAAATGTTTTTTAAAAATTTAAAAAATTTTGATCATCCAAAAACGTATAGTATTTTCTTTTTTAGTGTTATAGCTATGTGTTTTTGTTATGTTGTGGGACTTACAAACCCATAAACAAAACCAAAAAAAAAACATTTTTAACCCATTTACTCCTAAATTAGCTACACTCTTAGCTTGCATGTAATATTATATAAATATTTTTAATAAATTACTTTAATATTACTTATATTAAATACTACATTTTATTTAATTTGCTTCTGGTAATTGATTTAGGTATTAGAGACACATTTATGTGATCAGTTGAAAAATAGTATGCATTAAATAACAATAAAAGTAAGCATTACATATGTTAATAAAATCAGCAGCATTATACATAAAGGAACAGGAGTGATTAGTGAACACTAAAACAATGCACTTGTCATCCATCCCTTCATACCTGTTTTAAATGATTGCCTTATTTCATTTGCCAATTAATGTGTGTGCGTGTGTGTGTGTGTGTGTGTGTGTGTGTGTGTGTGTG